AGAGAGAGAGAGAGAGAGAGAGAGAGAGAGAGAGAGAGAGAGAGAGCCAACCCCATCAACCCCCAGCCCCCCCCCGAAAAAAAATCACCCCCAACCACCCAACTTTTTTTTTATGCGCAACCGCCCCCATGACATCCCCTGCCCTCGTGCAACCCCATGACGCGAGCGCACTCTTTTTTTGACGAGCGCGCGGCTTAAAGCACTTTGAGCACGTTTGAGCGGCGGGGGGGGGGTCTTTAAGAGCCCGCTCACATGTGGTCAAACGGTTCCATAGCTCTTGAAAGTTCGGGAGCTGGCAAGAACTTGTAGAAAATAGGCTCGGAGGTACTAGTGGTAAGAAGAGAAAGAGAGCCTCCTGGAGAGGTGGCCTGGACTATAGGATACTGATGACTGTAGATAACTAAGACCAATGGTCTGAGAGAAGAAATGAAACATATTGTAGTTTGGCCCTGTGCTGCTGTGCACACCAAAAAACAAAGGGAAAAGTTATAAAACGTCCCCACGACTAAACCTTTGTATATGAAATTGTATTCACTTCCCCCCCAGTGGGGCAAAAAGTGTTGCAAGCCCCAAAATGACTTCTACTGTCATTTTTGCAGCCTGGTTGGGCCCACTGTGCAAAAATTGCGGGGCGGTGTTTTACAGGGTGCAAAAATGACGCCAAAAGTCATTTCGGGGTCCGCCGCAGTTGTTGCCCGCCTGGGAGGGAATGAATGCAAAGTTTTCCTCACAGGGAGCTCTTATAGCTTTCCCAAAAAAGAAATAAATTAATGACTACTACCTGTAGGAGTGCACGGGACAGTAGCAGGGTCACCGTGGGGGCATGAGGCCTGGGAGAGTTTGGCAGGGAATAAGACAGTGTTGGAGAATTTTAAATTGTCTTGTTAGGGATTCCAGGGGTTCTGAGCATTCGAAGGACTTCTGTGGCTTTCCTTTTTGACTTAGTAATTGCTGCTTCAAGTTGAGAAGCCCAGCAATAGGTCAGCAGTTGTCCATGTTTTTCCGAAATTTTCCTGAACTCCTTTAATAGTCCTCAGATTGTTCTTAGCCTAAGCCGGGTAATGGCCCTGGTATTTCAAATGACTTGTATAATTGTATATGGGACGCTGGGCCCGGTTCCCAGCACGTGCTGCTCCCCATCAATATACTTAGCATTTGTCCAAAAAAAAAAAACAAAA